TTTTTTGGGGGGCATTGTTTCCATTCCTTCCCCATCCAAGCATGGAAAGCCTCGAAACCCACATGACGTCATCAATGACAGGATTGGTATCGAGGCGGAAATGATATTTCCTTTCCCTCTCTCTGGTGTCGAGTTGACAAGAACACAACTTTGTTATTAGTTGTCAATCTAGGATAGGCTAACCTATCAATCACGTGACTGATTGACACGTCACGAGCAGATGGAAGTGTGGCGCCGCTATGACATCATCCGTAACCCCCCGTTCGTGGTCACTTCCATTAGAGGATGCTTCGGAGCAGAGGGAGAAAGATAAGAACTCGCAACTATTCCGTTATGAATTTAAAATTTAAATGTTTTAAATATATTTTTTATTTCTTATATATTCCTATTTCATCTTTCTTCCTTAAGAAGAGATATTGGAAAGTCTATATAACTAGTGTCAAGTGTCGGGAGCATCCGGAGGAGAAACCAAAGGTCAAGGGAATACACATCCTCTATCATTATGACTGGATATCAAAGCTATATTGCTTTCGGAAAACAGATTTATTTACCCAAGGTCCAGCTAGAGATATTGAATATTGTGGCGATTACATCATAAACCCCTGAATAAAATTTATTAGTTTACCGGTATCTTGCTTCTCTCTTATTTAATAGCCGAAAGAAATAAAAAAAAAAAAAGTTGGAGTTTCTCGAATTTGTAGCTTCATTAATTGAAGTAAAAGCTGTAGTGAATTATGTCCAATGCTCTTTAAAATATGGAAGATGTTGATGGAGATACGTCCGGATTGATGTGTTTTCAGAAAGCATAAAAACTCCATCACTTATTCACTTGCTTGGAATTTCACGTCTTTTAATCAACGACTCGTCCATCTTATCGGGCGTGTTTACCAAATCGTTAAATTTTCCACGAATATATATATAAGCAAATCTTATAAATAGAAAGCTTATTTTAAACTGTTGGCGGCGTTATTTTTTATTATTTATTTTTTCTGTTTTTTTTGTTTTTTTAGAAAAGTTGAAAAACGCGATTTTCTCCCCTTGACAAAAACTGATAGTTTCACAAGGTGAAGTATTCGAAAGACAAACACATCTGTACCTCAATCACATTTATTGCGTAGAGATGAATACCTTAGCTTCCCGCTTTAATACATCACCGACTGATAAATTCCTCGACTTTGCATCACTCAGAGTATTACCAACTATGGAATGTTACACATCGTAAAGGTTAATACCACTCGGAACTCCTCTCGAATGAGTGGCGATGCCCAAGCGTTTTTTCTCCCCCTGTAAGAAAAACACTGACAAATGTGTATCTATATCTATATATAGATATATAGATATCAGCCTATTGAATTATAGTGTGTTGTTTGTAGTGTTGGAGTGATTCCAATTGATTTTTTTTCCATTCGAGCATTTGCCATTGTCTTGAGGGATCTCTAGAAAATTTGTTCTGGCGCCTTGTTTTTGTCTTGTCGTTATTGTGACTCCAAAGCACTTTTTCGAATTATGGCCGAGATTATAGTCGGTTGACGATTTTGTTCTTGTCGTTTCTTTTTTTATTTTATTTTTCTCCCAAGATAATTCGATTAGAGAGAGAGGGTGAAGTTAAAGAGGAAGATTTAATGATGAATAGGATGCAGATTAACGATCAGATTCATTATAACACTGGAACTGATTATAAAAATGCCTAGTTAGAGTTGGAAATTAGTAGAGATGCCACCAATAAATTCTATCTCTTGTGGATAGCTAAGACAAGGCACCGCTTTGGACACCCGCAACTTTGTGTCGAACACTTAATGGAACCGATATTTCGTCCCGAATCTAAGCCTTGCTGTCTCTGATCCCGTCTTGTCTGTTGTACATCTAAGCTGATTAGCTGAAATGTCCAACTAATTTTGTGTTGTACGATCTACAGCCAGCTTCTATACTGATTATCCAGGATGCTCCCGAGAGACGTGTGAACCTTACGTTGTCCTTTATTGAGTTGCGATTTCCAACGAAGTGTAGAGGTAATAACGACACAAATTTGTTTTCCCTTCTCTAACGTTCATTTTGTATTAACGAACACCTGAAAGCTTGTCTAAATGAGCCGTAATTGCAAAGATGTGTCAGTCTTCAACCCTCCCTCAAGAATTCTTTCTTGAAGTCAAAACGGATGCTGTCCTGGCGGGAAATCACTTCCTCTGACGTTATTAGTTCGAAGTAAGCCGACAACAAATTAAGTAGTTCTCTTATTATATAAGAAGGGTTTTCATAATCTTATTTCGTCAAAAGCTACAACTTTACCGAATCAAACTGAATGCCTGATGTAATGTTTATGTTTTGTTAAAATGTAAACGCTCCGCGTTAGCAATTTCTGAGAATCACTAATGTCTTTACAATCTAAATATTTTCCTACCAGATGCTTTTAATCTTATTCCTCCGTTAAATTACCCCTAAAATCCAAACTTAAATAATTCGTTTCAGCATCTTCCTAAAGTAGCATTTATCCATCTACTCGTGCCTTCTTTTATATATATATTTTCAATTTAACTTAAATGTTTTTTCATTAATTTATTCATTAAGACGTAAGTGTTTTTATAGACCTTCCACTCCGACGTACTATACATGCCTATAGGTTAACTGGTAGGGGCAGCATCCATAATTGTTGCCAATGGAAAAAGTGAGGATGAATGACGTTTTTCGGAAATCACTGGTTGCTATGTAAAGGTTTCCTGCTTGGTGAAAAATAGTCCCCCGGTGAGTGCAGTCCATAGGGATAGCGAATATTGCTTTCCCTTAACGGACTCGGGAGCGTATGTGATGACGTCAGGGACCGAGTCGGGGGTTGGCATCATAGGTATACGTCATTTCTCGGTGAAATCACTGGACCTAATGATTTTCTATTATTGCTTTTATTTAATTTACTAAAAAAATGACAAACTTTTAATGCGAAGAATTTGGAACTCGGGAAAGAATTTGAAATGTTTGTAGTATTATGGATATAGGAATGGCGATAATAATTATAGTGCGAGAGAGATGAAAAGAGCATATTGGTATATCGAAAGAGCAGTTTTTGAGTGAAACTTTCTACTTTCTGGGAAACATTTCTATAGTTGTGTTTCCGGCAATGCAGTAGCTCTATCGAGAGAAAGTGAAACCGAGTCGAGAAAAGTTAAGCTTACATTTTCTTCTCTCAATTCGAAAATTGCCTTTTTCCTTTACTTCTTCTTGGAGATTTTTTTAACTCTGTCCGCTTGACTTCTCAATAGATATATTTACAAGGCGATGTTAGATTAAAGCCATTCAGAGAAGATACATCCTTCTCCGAGAAGAGGATAAAAAAACTAGTAAATATTCATTCCTTTCACACTGTGAAGGGGTGGGTGTTTTTTTCCCTTGTTCGGTGGGTCTCCATCTTCTCTCACTTTTTTATCTACAAAATAGTCACACAATCGAAAAATGGAAAAGAAGACAATTTATAGATTCCTTCTGGAGCGATGGAAAAAAATCGGATATTTCAGTATTAGTGAGAGTGGTGAAGACGGCATCTTGCATTTCCGCTTGGTTATTGATGGAAAGCCAACTTTTCTTTCTGGCGCATTACGGCCGGCTAGTACGACCTTATTCCATGATTGACTCCGCTTGTGTGGCACGCAATGGCGAATATTAGTGATAAAAAGAGGTTGGCCAGTAGGTTGCCGGCCCAGCCAATCTCTCTGATGGATTGCTGACCAGGGACTGAATCTACGAGAGAAAGGAGAGGGCCTAGCCCTCTCTAATGGCTCCATGTAGTCTTGCCCGTCTATCATTCCATCAGAATTCCATTGGGCAGCAGTTCTCTGGCAGACGGTCGCCGTTTCTGCTGTAAACTCTAACTGTAATTACTGAACCGACGCAGACCACCTTGTGTGAAATGACTGGGCACATCTCTAGAGAGTACTAGGCCACACTTCCCGTGTGCGGGAAGTGGACCTACAATAACCACTGACGGACAAGCGAGTGCGCTATAATTGCCGGAGCGAAAGAGAAAAAGGGTTTTATATCCCAGACGACGGTTGATGTAGTGCCCCTCCGTTCGTTTCCCCTTCTCTACTTCGGCCAGTGGAGTTCAAATTGATTTCTCCCCTAGCGAAAAGTAGGTCTTGGTAAAATCGATAAGAGAACCAGTGTCCATTACTTGGACTGCCAATACGGAAAGGAGGCAGCAGATACTACCAGATTTTGGCTGCGGTAATCCGGTAGTACCAGACGGCAAAACACCGCTACCATATTGCCAGCTGTTACATCCCATAATTTTCCAGTTCGAGTCTATTGACGTCGAATATCTTCTTGTCAAATGTTTGTAGTGTCGTGTTATCTGGACTGATAGGAAATCACGTGGTTTCATACGTCATTCGGTGGGTGACATTTATTCCGTCCATCAAATGTATATGTGGATTATATCACGTACTTTTCTGACCTCGTTTTATGTCTCTGCCCCTGCCATATTACGTTTTGCAGCTTAACTGTAGTGAAATGCGGTGAAGTGTGAGATTAGGGGCAGGGCCGCCGTTAAATACTACAGCGTTGAAATAGAATGAATACTTTGTCGACAATAAATTTAATTGAAGCTCGCCATGGCATTCTCCATGCTCAAATTACATTTTTCTTTGTCTTTCCTTAATTTGCATTCTGACTTCGCTCCTTCTGACATTCCCTAATTGCTATTCATTTTAAATTTCTAATAAAATCGATATCTCGAAGTATTTTATTCTAACGTTGGTGTCAGTGCTCTATCGTTAAATAAAAGACAACACCTCTCTCTGTGCCAGTGCATAACTCAAAGTGCACTTGTAACTGAAGTAAGCTCCCATTTTATATTATTCATTTGGAAATAGCGAGAAATTCTCATTCATTTTTCTAGAATATTTTAATTACTTCTAAGATTTAAATGATTTTTGTAATTATTTAATTTTAGTTTATGAAGCTGTTTTAATAATGTTAATAATATGTGAACTAAATTGTTTTTTCTCCACCAGGTCTAAACTCAGGACTGAAAAGTGACATAGCAGGAAAAGATGAACATGTCTGTGGAAAATGCAGAGCCGAATTCGGCGATTTGGGAGACTTCATTTCACATAAAAGATACTGTACTAGGAAGCGCCCCGTGTTCCTGTTGTCGGATGAAGTCTATGACGAACTGTGTCCTGGAAAGGATAGTCCGATTCCTCGTATTGCATCCTATTTGGAATTGGTGGAAGAAGGAATTCTCGAAACAGTTCAAACAGACGATAAACCCGAATCTCCAGAAAGCGAATATACGAGTATGCCGAGTCTTGTGATGAAACGAAAACAATCCTTTGGGGAAGAGGCACCGGTTGATGATCCATCGTCCAACTTGTATAGGAAGAATCTAAAAAGGAATACCTCCTTATTGTCATCACTACCTCAATTTCCATTCGGTCAACTCTCTGATACTAATGTTACTCTGGAAGCATTAGAGAACACACGTGTGGCTGTGGCTCAATATGGTACCGATGCTACTCAACTATCTCATATTACAGCTCTTCAGTCGGCGCTGTACGCGTTACAGCAACAGCAATTAGTGCAAATTCAGGTTATTCAACAATTACAGACTCAACTCATCGGATCATCGTCAACTTCCATCCCTTCGACGACAACACCTCTTACAGGTTCTGCTGCTCTCACTCCACCTCAATGTGGAGAGAATACTACAGTTGCAGTAACTACTTCCACAACATCAAGGACTTTGGGTAGTAGTAATGGACTGGTCAACACAACTTCCAATACCAGCAAAACCGGAGATAATTTGACAGATGCCTCTCACCCTTTGGCACCACCTCCACCTTTACCGCACGAACCTAATACTTTGGAATTATTGCAAAGGCACACGGAACAAGCTTTGCAGAACACCATGTCTGGTGGTTCATTTCTGTTAAATGGACTTAGTAGCAGTACAGATATATCCCGATATTGTAAAGGAAAAGACTCTGAAGGCAAAAGAGACGGAACAGATGAAGCTTTTTTTCGGCACCGCTGTCGCTTCTGCGGAAAATTATTCGGAAGCGACAGCGCCTTACAAATTCACATTCGCTCACACACGGGAGAAAGACCTTTCAAATGTAATGTTTGTGGTAATAGGTTCTCGACTAAAGGTAATTTAAAGGTGCATTTCCAAAGACATGCGTCAAAATATCCTCACATCAAGATGAATCCGAATCCAGTACCCGAACATCTCGATAGTCTACATCCACCTTTAGAGCCTCCAGATGACAGAAATAAAGATGCTCCCGATTTTGATCCTTTGCAATCTAATATTCCATCAAGTATTGCTGGATCACAAGGACACGAATTAGAATATAAACTGGGAAATGGTTCTCCTGACGACGTTACCTCTCAAGATTTAGGCTCTCCAATCCAAACAACGAGTCTTTCTCCGAACGAAGCTTCAAATATGAGTGACGCGAGTGATGCTTCTGCAGATGGTTCTGGGATGGAAGACAATATGGATAAAGATTCAGAATTCTTAAAAGGTGACGAGGACGATCAGCGAAGTTTCACTTCAACGCCAAAGGGAGTCGACGATCGCAAAGATGATGACGCTAGGAGTGATGATGAAAGAAAACCCCTCACGGGTATCGACAATAATTCGAATGTACCATCATCACTTTTACCTGCGTTTATCAACACGTCGACTCCTACTTTTCCTTCTTTTCTAAATCCCACTTCGTTCTCTCCCATATGTTTTCCTAGTGTACCTACTACGCCCACAATTACTACAACAGCATCAGGCACTAATAATGATAATATGGGGATTCATGCCGATCCCGCATTTTATCAAAATCTGTTACCAAAACCTGGAAGCAACGACAATTCCTGGGAGAGTCTTATGGAAATAACTAAAACTTCCGAAACATCCAAATTGCAGCAATTAGTTGATAATATTGAACATAAATTAAGTGATCCAAATCAATGTGTTATCTGTCACAGGGTTCTTAGTTGTAAGAGCGCCCTTCAGATGCACTACCGAACACATACAGGTGAAAGACCCTTTAAATGTAAAATATGTGGACGTGCGTTTACTACAAAAGGTAACTTGAAAACGCATATGGGAGTTCACCGAGTAAAGCCTCCCATGAGGGTACTACATCAATGTCCTGTGTGTCATAAGCAGTTCACTAATTCGTTAGTCTTGCAACAACATATTCGGACACACACAGGAGAACCAACCGACATGCTACCAGAACACATCATTGCCAATGAAATCAAGTCCCAGTCGTTACTACAAGCATCTTTTCCACGACCGATAATGTCATCTATGTCTCATCATCAGACCAGTCCAGTGTCTATGGCGACAACAATACCTATAGGCACAAATATGCAATCGAACAAAGGCATGGATTCACAAATTTCAGATGGCTCTCCGAGCCCTGTTATGACTAATGACAGTGTCATCAAGACTACATCGTCTACGAAAGATAACAAATCTGAAGATAGCGAATCATCAAATGGAGAAACACCTCCTGTAACTGCTGCTGAAGACTCACCACCTATTACAACAGTTATGCCCACGTTGACGCGAAGTATCTCTCCTGCTTCCGACAGAGTAATTCCGGCATCAGATAGAGTAATCACAACCTCTAGTAATTTTCATTCTCCTTATACGGCATCTCTAGTTGCCTTAGAAAATCACGTCAAAGCTATTAATTCTACAATTCCTCAACCTTTGCCATTTTCTCCATTTGGACTTGGCCTGCATATGGGAAGTTTCTTACGTTACGACGATCCTTCGAATTATATGAATCGAACATTACCAAAAGATGGTAATAGAGATAAGTCTCCTCCTCCGTCAAATGCTTACTCGCCTTCTCCTTCAACTAGCCGTGCGGGATCCGAAGGATCAGGTGATGACAGATCGACTCCAGGATCTTTAAGGAAAGCAGATTCGCCATCTTCAGTAAATCTTAGTCAACCTGTAGTTACTTCTAGCCAATCTGAGAATGGTGCGTTGGACTTAACTCCTAGAACGTCTATTCTTTCAAAACCAATTACTTCGACAGCAGAAATAGCTATGTTTTCTCCTCTTAGCGGGTTACCCTTTCCGCCACCAGGTAATAGACCTAACACGACATGTAAAGTGTGTTTTAAGACTTTTGCCTGTAATAGCGCATTGGAAATCCACTATAGAAGTCATACCAAAGAACGACCATTTAAATGCACAGTGTGCGATCGAGGATTTTCTACAAAGGGAAACATGAAACAGCATATGTTGACTCATAAAATTCGCGATTTGCCTTCTCAGTTATTCTCAACTGAAGACAACAATTCTTCGACATCTGCACCCACTACACCCATATTAACCAATACAACAACTGACTCAGGTACCAGGCCACAGAAAGAAATGACTCCACCTAAAGAAGTTCAATCCCCCACAACCCCTAGTCCTAGCCCTAAAAAACCTCTGAGTGAAGGTAATACCATTCTTCCTGCACCGAAGAGACCACCGGGTATGCCAAAGCATATGTGTAACATTTGTAACAAGCCGTTTTCTAGTGCAAGCGCTCTACAAATACATATGAGGACCCATACCGGAGATAAACCCTTCAAATGCACTATATGTGGCAGAGCATTTACCACTAAAGGAAATCTCAAGGTACATATGGGCACGCACATGTGGAATAATTGTAGTTCTCGGCGAGGTCGAAGAATGTCGTTGGAGCTACCGGGTCTGCCAATAACACCAGGTAAACCTGGAGATATACCACCGCCTCGCCCGGATATGTACTTTCCATACTTACCACCTACTTACGTAAATGGTATGAATGCACCGAAAATGAACGAGATCTCAGTGATACAAACCGCAGGGGTGACAAACGGAAACGTTGTGTCGTCGATGAACATGAGTCCTGCAGTCAGTATGGCGGGAGAAGATCAATCCAAGTCTGATCACGAGAACAGGCAGTCGCCAATTTCACGACCCAACGATCTTACCTCGGCCCATCGTCAAGAATCTCCTCCGGCCAGTTGGAGTTGGAAGATAGCTTGTAACATCTGTAACAAAATTTGTTGTTCATCCACAGAACTCGAACTTCACGTCCAATGTCACTACCAACCGGAAGGGGCCAAAGATGAGGGCAAATGTATTTCGGGTGAAAGGATCTCCACTTAAGTGTATAGTAGGCTATGAAACAGATGACTCCGTTAATTTGTTCCTACGTTCTTGCTAGTCTAAATTGTTGTGGAGGAAGAGTGCTTGTGGCTGAGCACAAATAAACGAGCACTGTGCCGTTCGGGAGTCACAACAAGGCAAAAATCCGGGATGGAATCCATTGGAAATAATAGCCTAGTTGAAAAGAAATAGAATAGAAGGTAGATCTAAGGTAGTGAACCTACTTCATAATTAATGTTCTCGATCCATCGGTATCAGACGGGATGCCCGCAGCATACCATAGGTAAGGAGGAGTGTACAGTATGGAAAGTGCAAAATGCTTGTAATGGCAGAACGGGTTCGTTGCAACCGAGTTACCACAGAATCCCAATGGCATACGGTTTCTATTGATATCCGTCTTTGTTTGTTTTTAGAAGTAACCCTTCAAATGGAATGTTCAAACAGTAGTGTGATGTCCCCATTACTTCGTCAGACTTTTAGAATGGTCAGGCCTTCCTCAAAGCGATGTTGTTGTATATGCAAAAAAATAAAAATAAAAAAGATTTAAGCTCGCGGTTGCACAACCCAAGGAGTGGTCATATCACTGTACAGGGAGTCTCAAGGGTTGCAGCCGCGAAGCAATTACTGGATTAGAAAAACTGTGTAATGCTGTGTAGTTACATCTCATCAACTATTTGTTACTGTTGATATGTCCCATAAACGGGAAGTCCCGAATCCCATCATGTTTTATTTAAGTATACACTCATACCAAAATTATACACGAAACGCATTTCATACACGGAATGTCTTCCGACAGTTATCCATCTTATCCCCGACTGTCCGGAATTATCACGTGTTAATTTTTTTCGGTTTTTTTAGTCCATCGTCACGCGTGAAGACAACGTGACAGCGATCACCATTTACTTACACATCAATCATTGTCATTCAGGTCTTTGTAATTTATTGTATGCATGCTCTGTCACATTTGCTGCTATGTTGTACGCTTTACAGATGAGAAATGTCATCTACTATATCTGGCCTGTCAATTGAGAAATTTTATCCGAATTTAATCCGACCAAAGCAAGGATCTGTTTCTTTTTTTTTTCTTTTTTATCGTGAGAAAACTTACCACTCATCCTGCATACACCGTCTTTCAGTATACATCGACATGTTTCTCGGTTGTTTTATGTTTTAAAGATTAAAGCTATATATATTCAGTTTTTTCATTCTCAAAACTCACAGTTCTATTTTTTAATAAGCGGTTGGGGTTCCAGTAGCTTAGACACTTTTAAGGTGTAACTATTCCATCGTCTAGGTTACTAGAACTCCAGCTAAATGTTTATTCCATGTATTATTATTATTATTATTATTATTATATATTATTATTATATACTGTTATGTTGTTTACTATTGAAAATCATTTTTTTATTGTTTCTTACTTATCACAAAACCTCTGGTCACTTTAAGGAGATTTTCATGGTTGTGATAGTGACAAAAGAGGATACACGAATCATTTTTTCCTAAGTTTTTAGTCCATATTGGACAGTGGGGGGGTTGGCGTCGTTGTCGCTAATATACTAAAAAAGGACACTGCCGATTTTTTATATTTTCTTAAAACAAAAACTTTGACGCCCGTAAAATTTTTTTAAGTTTTAAATATTACACATGGTGCAGTGTTAAGATTTGTGGGGGTAGAAAGGGGGAAGACAGTCGTTGGTGATATGACAACTGTGATATGTTCTTCCTCGTCTATGTTTGACTGTCCTTACCATTTTATCACCCACTTACGAAGGGATTAATAAAAACTAATTAAAAATATTAACGCGAATATATAATTTTTCCTTTCGTAGTAAAAGAAGGAAGACCTGAAAGTATTTAAGGACGAAAAAAAAAAAAAAAAATGTTATAAACCATTCCACTCAATGCAGGATGCTGAGGAGCAATTTACGTACCGATCCTTGCTTAGGAAGGAGAACGAATAAAATTCTCAAAAGAAGCGAAAAATCTGTTGTGTCCCTGTACATATTCTATACGAGACATTGTTATAGGAAATGTGTGTTGATACTGTCGTATAGTCATCAGCAGCTTCAACTGGTCTATGTCTACGATCTGACCTCTGTTCGTTTTGTATTTTCAGTGGACTTTTATTATTATTATATTATATTATATTATTATTATTATTAATTATTATTATTATTATTATTATTGGTTGTTTTTCTGATGTAAAAGAGTCGGTTGCCACTTCGTCGTTCAACAGACCAGGAGAACGCTATTTTTGTAACAATTGTAGCTAAGTTGGACGATTGTCGTGTGCGACCGGCTCCCCAATAAAAAAGAAAAAAAAAAAAAAAACAAAACCTCCATCAAGCTCTTAGTTTGGTGCATGATAAAAGAAGACGTTTATGATTCCTATCCTCATCCTCAACTGTTTCTTCTGTTGTCCTGATGCCAGTTATTCCGTTCCTTCCAAGGAGGGATGTGTTAGACTAGCTAGCTTTCTATTTTTTCATACCAAGAATTGAGAATAAACGTCTTTCTTATGACAGGCGATATTGTGTTATATGTCTTTGATAATAAACATTTATGATATACAATCGAAAAACTTCTAAAAATAAAAAGAATATTATTAATTTTGATAAATATCAGAACCAAAATTTTATCAGATTTCACACTATTAATAACAATCAGTTAGAGAGATACAAACAATATATTTAATTTAATTTAAATAATAAAACATAATTTAAATAATTTTTATAAATTTATTTCAAAAATATAATTATTATCGAATAATGATAATAATAATAATACAAAAAAAACAGCTTTCTTTCTATAACAGCGGGTTAAATCGCTAGAGATTTGCTGAGCTTTTATAAAATTTATAAATCGAGTATTTCTGTATAAAAAATTTATAAAAGTTATTTTTTCGTTTTAATAAATTTAGTTATATCTACATAAGCTTATAAAAATATATAAAATGAAATAAAACAATTCTTTATAAATATTACAATTTTCAAAAATAAATTATAAATTTATTTACCTAACAATGACTAATGAATAAAGTCCGGAAGGCGATAAAATTTAACAATATTTAAACGAATAATGAATGTAAAATATTATATGTCTTATTCATCCGGCGGAAATTAACATATTCATATTAAAAGCAATAATTCCGTAAGCGTGAATGCATATACATAATTACTTATGGAAGTGTGTACTCGTAATTGTTTATTCAGGGTACTTCTCACCCCGAAAGTAACCCTCCAGATAGTGCAGAACAAAGTTTCTGACTCAAATCAATTACTATTGGCCAGTGGTTCATGTTATCCCCTCAGTCAGCCATTGGTACGTGAGACGAATCTTGTAGAATAGTTTATTATTTTCTTTGCTCACTGGCCACTACAGCTCCTCTTTTCCCGAGAGTATTATGATGTTTGTAGTGCCTACAACTAGATATTACGATTGGTCAGTATTCTCCACCCTCCGTTACTATGGTAACAGCCTCCGGCAGCATGTAAAAGCGAAAGGGTCAAGGGGGAAAAAAAAGATTTCTGTTGAAGGATCTTCATTCTGCATTACAGTAAACTCTTTTCTTACCTTTCTGCTTTTTCAGAAATTTTGGCACGAACGAAACTGCAGGCGTCTAACGATTACGTATAAATCAAATTAAGTCTTTCGTCTACACCTTAAACTAGTATCGATTAGCACTATCGACTCGCACCCATTAAGAAATACAACGGTGTTACGTTAATATGGTTAATAACAGGTGAAAAATAGCCAATGCGGGATGTTGCACGCCTTCATAAATGGCATCCATGACAAATGTGAGAAGATAGTCAAGCAAATAATTCTTTTAGTTGCTTCGATGAAGCTAACATTTTCATCAAACGTTTGACAAGAAGACAAAGTACAGAGCTTTCTCTTCTGATAAGAACAACTGGCAAAGAAGCTTTTGGATATTGCCAATAAATTCCCTCCACCCAACAACACCTAACCTTGCTTTAGTAAAAATAAAATAAGCGGTTATTATTATGTAATAAATCGGTAATTGCTACCTATATATTTTTAATGAATTATCTACTCATTATTTTTTAATAACGTTAATAAATCTAGATTACAAATTATCTCGAGTAAATTAAAAAATATATGAATAACATTACTTAAGGCAAGAAAAGAATTTGGTTCCTGCTGAGTGCAGCCCATCACTAACAACCCCGTGTGGTCCCTACCCAAGTATTCACTTCAGAACGATGTTATCCAACACATCATATAAATTATCGAACTCTTGGGGACATAAATGTTACTGACGGAAATCGGCCACTTGTGCATAACTTCCTGGGGATGTTTATTTAGTCTCTCCAGCTGATCGATTGGCTGAACTTGTCATTGAGAAAATAAGACGGATAGATTAGTTAGTTTCGACTCCACAAAACATAGTTCCAAGTTTTTTATAGACTTTAAAACCTTCAATCTTCACAAACCTCATCAACACAGATTTATTAAGATCATTATGCAATTATCTCTGCAGGGAAGCAACCCAGCAGGGTTATCCCATACGTTTTTAATCATTAATCGATACGATACTCAAATTTTGCTACTGCGACTAATGTGGAGGGTGGACGTAAATATCAATCGGAGTCGATAACAGAACCGAGTGGTTGATATTCTCACCCCTTGTATAACCTAACGGAATCAAAACATAACTGCACAAAAGAGAGCATTAAGAAGAGTCATTTTGCAGGAACATTTGCACCATTGCTTGACGTAGAAGTAAAAATTAGGTGTGATTAAGGTCGACAGAAATGAGTGCAGATATATCCCTACAATCAAGTAAGGTGGGGAGGGGTAAATGTGGTAATGTGAACGTCCTAATCAAGATGTTTGATGGTAAATACAAGCTTAGCAACTCCGCCCTCTCTATATCGACAATTTGTACGTCGTTTTTTCTTAAGACAAGACGTCTAGTGACAAGAAACGTTGTCGTCAACATATAATTATGAGAAAAACAGCATCATTAACAGACGAGGGATACTGTTCTTTTTTGTCGGGAGTAAGACTGAATTCATTAGTAAAGACTGCAGCGTTGTGACGTACTGTACAAAAACGCGTTCTATTAGACAACGATTGTACCTAGACTCAGCATTGATACATCATCAATCATTTAGAGTTGCTGGCACCCCCACAATTAGCCAATCAGATAGGGTGATTCTAATTGCAAAACTAAAGGTATAAACTAAACCCGTAGAGCCTCAAACAGTCATTTTTTCTACATACCTTTTCATCTTTCTTAACTCTTTTTTCCGGCAGAAAAATTTTAACATTTCATCTTGCTTGTTTTTCCACATTAAATTATTCAACAAATGATTTATCGAAATCGAGTAATCAAGCCAGTTTTTACACCGTTAAAAAATTTATAAAGTTTTCATGCTAAAATAAATAATTAGATTACATTTGGAATTTATTTTTTATTTGCTTTTTTAAAGAATAAAAATAAATAAATTGTGATAAAAAATTTGGAATGTAATCTTGGAAAGAAACGGGCGGTTGGCTTGTAAAAGCAATTGTAAGAAATGGTCAGTCATTTCTTTATTGACACTTTTAAAGGAAGACCCAATTATCCATATTAAAGTAGTCTTGGGCTGATAAAAACGGCGCCATGTTCCTCTCAGTCGTCCGCCATGATGTATCGCCTGTCACGTGACCTCTTGTGGCAATAGTCCGAAAACCGTTTTCATCGGAGATTGAATTTGAAATTTCCCCTGCACGAGATCCCGCGAGAGTGTTTTCCAGTGAAAAACTTTGCCTTGTGTTCATTTTTCACGTCACTGATGTGGCAACTCTGAATTCGTCACTAGAACTAGCACATCACAAGATGCAGTATTGGCTTCTAACACGTCTCTGCTCTTTAAAAACTCCGTTGCACTCCAACTGCATAATAAACAGCTGGGATTTACTTTTTCTTTTGCCACGTTTCTCTTTATATACCCGATAAATATAGATGTAGCCGCGTAACCAAACAATTTTTACATATTAAGTAAATTAGATTTGGTCGAAAGTCGAATATTGTAAATCGCCAGAGACTTTATTACAATTATCTAGCGTGGAAAATTTACATGGAATTTCCTAATGCCGAGAAGAAAGTATAAACTTTGATTTCTAACCAGGTTGATCCGTTTCCATAATGGCGAGGGAAAGAAAAAGCAATCGCTGGAATGGAAGTTAAATAGAAACACGACTGGGATGAAGTGGATAAAAGTGTTTTTATGACGAGTGGAATATCCAAAAACGGAAGATGTAGAAAGTAGAGAGAGATATTCCTATTTGTATTTGCAGTTAGCCATGCGGATCTGGTGGCAGTGCGCTAAACGGCCGTAATGGCCAGCGCTGACCCCTGGCCAAGAATCAATAGAAAGATCGATGAGGCTCGAGTAGACTGGAAGGTGCAGTCGCCTGGACAAGGGATGAGCACTTCCGGTCCATATCCGTTCACTGTCTGTCTCAGATTCGGATATAATTTTCCTGTGCCTCACCATAATACACTCGCATGGCTGACAATCATCTACAGCATGCTGGCTATTAAGAATTTCCTGCATGAATCGCCATGGATTTTGTTGATTTGTGTATTTGTGGTATTGGCATCTTTACGCTCTGTTGCATTAACTCATAAATAAAGTTTTAACTTTGATTTCCCCTTCGCGTCGAGTGCTTATAACGTTATACGACCCAGACGTAGCGCTAAAATTATATTTAAACATAACAGAAAATTAATTAAGAAAACGTTGCAGGAAAATAATAAAACTAAGGAATCTTTATTACTTTCCAAACTTTAAAATTCAGGAAGATTTACACATTTGTCAGCTTTAAATTCATAAAGTCACGAATAAACATCCCGTAAATACTTTAGTACAGATTAAGAAACGGCAACCTGATGTAATTTACTTGTAATTACATAAGAAATAATTAAAGAATTACGGGAAGAAGCCCGAAGATTATACATTAACAATAATTAGCTTAGATCCAAATAAGAATGCTGAAATTATCAAACATAAATTATCGAAAAAAAACTAAATTACTCGAATAATATAAAAAAATAAAAATTAAATAAATAAATTATCCGCATGATATCAAAACTCTACAAACGATAATTATTTTTCTTTCAATCGATAAAGCCATTACTATATCTTAAAATGCCGATTGATACTCCTTTTTTTCCTTATTTCTAATTAAATTATTATGATTTACAATATAAAATTTTCAACTTTTTAATTAAAATAATTCTAAATCGCCATTAAACGTCGCTTATTTAACAATTGTGACGTCGATAACTGTATTATCGTAAGTATTTGTGACGTTTTAAAGACAATAGTAAATAATTGTGACGTCAC